TTAACACTCAAACATGCCTAAACGTGTCTAGTGTTTAGACACGTTTGCACATATTTAGGTGTGTCAAGCATTTTTTCTGCTCCTCAGCTCCTGCTGAACACGCTGATGATTTTTTCTTCAGCCTGTAAACTCCTGTGTGTGAGGTGCTTTTACAGCACGAGTCTCCAAACTTTCTAAACAAAAGGCCAGTTTATTGTCTTTGAGAATTTAGGCGGGCCAGACTGTGGCCAGTGGCAATGGACATTTTCCTGGCATCAGTGGGCATAAACACTACCACATTTGATATTAGGGGAAGGAGTAGTACCCCATTGTTGGTGTCACTGGAAGAGATAGTGCCCCATTATTGGTGTTAGTGGGAGAAATGGTGTTCCAACGTTGACATCAGTTGACATAATAGTGTCTCTGTGAGAGAAATTGAGCCCCAAGGGCCAGATAAAGGCAAGCAAAGGGCCACAGTTTGGAGACCACAGTTTTACAAAGCATTATTTTTTAAGCCCAGTGTGCATGATCAATACCATTGCGAGATAGTAAGTCATTAAGTACTGAGATCTATCTATCTATCTATCTATCTATCTATCTATCTATCTATCTATCTATCTACAGTATCCGTTTCTCAAAGAATAGTGCAGTATGTAGAATGTATGCTTACATAAAGTGAAATCATTAAAGCTTATGTACAGCCAAAACAATTTTTTTGTAGTTTTTTTTTATAGTAGGAAAGAGGTAGAACCCCTGGCAAATTGTTCTGCTCTCTCTGTATCCTCACTGGGGCATTTGTCCTGGTGACCACTGTCTTCACTAGAGAAAATTATGTGAAATCCAAAATTTCAAAGTCATCATGGGAACAGGAGCTGAGAGGAAATCTTGTGATAGGGACATCTATTCTGCTGACAACTGTTTAAACAGGAATATCAGCATGCACATGTGTTAAAACATCAGCTATAAACAGCTGCCAATTAACAGGTTTATTTGACTGACAAGTGTACAGGTGCATCGCAATAAATTAGAATAACATCAAAAAGTTAATTTATTTCAGTAATTCAATTCAAAAAGTGAAACTTACACTCTTTTCCAAATTATTGTGCAAATTATATTTTTCTCATTTACCTAAATAATTTATGTAAATAACAGTCTGCATAATTCTCATGTTATCAACTATTAAGAGTACAATTCAAATTTTATTGAACAAACCTCCTAATGATAACAGTATTTTTTTTAAACATAAAAAACTTACAATGCACTGTTCCAAATTATTACGCACAGTAAGTTTCAAAACACTTTATAGGTTGTAAAGAACTGAAAGTTGTCATTTATTGTGTTTGCAGCATATTTACTGAAATCAAAAGCTATTTCAATCAAACCTTTAACAACATTTTAACTTTTTAAACATTTTAACAGGTCACGTTACATTTTAACATAGGACCCCTTATTTGATAGCAGCTTCACAAGTCTTGCATCCATTGAACTTGTGAGTTTTTGGACAGTTCTGCTTGAATTTGTTTGCCAGATGTCAGAATAGTCTCCCAGAGCTGCTGTTTGGATGTAAACTGCCTCCCACCCTCATAGATCTTTTGCTTGAGGATGCTCCAAAGGTTCTCAATAGGATTGAGGTCAGGGGAGGATGGAGGCCACACCATGACTTTCTCTCCTTTTATCCCCATAGCAGCCATTGATGCAGAGGTATTCTTTGCAGCATGAGATGGTGCATTGTCATGCATGAAGATGATTTTATTACAGAAAGCATAGTTCTTCCTTCTGTACCAGGGAAGAAAGTGGTCAGTCATAAACTCCACATACTTTGCAGAGGTCATCTTTACACCTTCGGGGACCCTAAAGGGGCCGACCAGCTCTGTTCCCATGATTCCGGCCCAAAACATGACTCCACCACCGCCTTGCTGACATGCAGCCTTGTTGGACCAGGGGTGGCCGTCCACCAACCATCCACTACTCCATCCATCTGGACCATCCAGGGTTGCACAGCACTCATCAGTGAACAGGACTGTTTGAAAATTAGTCTTCATGTATTATTCTGCCCAATGCAGCCATTTCTGCTTGTGAGCATTGGTTAGTGGTGGCCAAATAGAAGGTTTATGCACAGTTGCAAGATTCTGGAGGACTCTACACCTTGATGTCCGTGGGACCCCAGAGCCACCAGCAGCTTCAAATATCTGTTTGCTGCTATGTAATGGTATTTTAGCAGCTGCTCTCTTGATCCGATGCATGGATCTGGCAGAAATCTTCCTCAATGTGTCTTTATCTGCACTAACCCGTCTGTGCTCTGAATCAACCACAAATCTCTTAATAGTGTGACGATCACGCTTAAGTTTTCGTGAAATATCTAATGTTTTCATACCTCGCCCAAGGCATTGAACTATTTCACTCTTTTTGGCAGCAGAGAGACCCTTTTTCTTCCCCATATTGCTTGAAAATGGTGCTCTGCTTAATGTGGAACACCGTCCTTTAGTAGTTTTTCCTTAAATTGGGCTCACCTGCCAATCTAATTATCACAGGTGTCCGAGATTGTTTTCAGTGATCAAAAGAGCCCTGACACACAATGCCATCCATGAGTTAAACTGAAAAACAATATATTTAATCTTTGTGACACTTAAATAGAATTTGCATAATAATTTGGAACAGGGTGTATATAATTTATAGATTCATTACACACACAGAATGATATATTTCAAGCTTTTCTTTCTTTTAATTTTGATGATTAAGGCTTACAGCAAGTGAAAGCCTGAAATTCAGTATCTCAGAAGATTTGAATATTGTGAAAAAGTTCAATATTGTAGACTCATGTTGTCACAATCTAATCACCTAATTAATTCAAAACACCTGTAAAGATTTTCTGACCCTTTAAATGGTTTCTCAGTCTGGTTCAGTAGGTTACACAATCATGGGGAAGACTGCTGACTTGACAGTTGTCCAAAAGACATTCTCCAAAAGGAGGGTAAGTCACAAAAGGTCACTGCTAAAGAAGCTGGCTGTTCACAGAGTGCTGTATCCAAGCATATTAATGGAAAGTTGAATGGAAGGAAAACGTGTGGCAGAAAAAAGTGCACAAGCAACAGGGACAACTGCAGCCTTGAGAGGATTGTGAAGCAAAAGCCATTCAAGAATTTGGGGTAGATTCACAAGGCTGGACTACGGCTGATGTCAGTGCTTCAAGAGCCACCACACACAGACGTATCCAGGACATGGGCTCCAACTGTCGCTCTCCTTGTCTTACCTAGGCTAAGGAGAAAAAGGACTGGACTGTTGCTCAGTGGCCAAAGTCCTCTTTTCAATTAAAGTAAATTTTGCATTTAATTTGGAAATCAAGGTCCCAGAGTTTGGAGGAAGAGTGGAGAGGCACAGAATCCAAGTTGCATGAGGTCCAGTGTAAAGTTTCCACAGTCAATGATGATTCAGGGAGTCATATCATCTGCTGGTGCTGGTCCACTTTGTTTTATCAAGTCCAAAGTCAGCATAGCCCTCTACAAGGAAATTCTAGCGCACTTCATGTTTCCCTATGCTGACCAGCTTTTTGAAAGGCTGATTTCATTTTCCAGCAGGATTTGGCACCTGACCACACTGCCAAAAGTAACAATACCTGGCTTAATCATAATGGTATCATTGTGCTTGATTGGCCAGAAAACTCGCCTGACCTAAACCCCATAGACAATCTGTAGGGTATTGTCAAGAGGAAGATGAGAGACACCAGACCCAACAATGCAGATGAGCTGAAGGTCGCTATCAAAGCAACTTGGGCTTCCACAATACCTCAGTAATGCCACAGGCTGATCGCCTCCATGCCACGGCATAGTACAGAGCAGCAGTTGCAAGCTTGCACATGCTCTGTTTGGTGTGTATTTCTAGAAAGTAGGTTTTTTGGCACAGGGCCAATCAGCACTGTCCAGGCCGAGGGTCAGAGGTCATACAGCCTCATAGGGCAGTCAGAGGTGAATGTATACTCCTTCTTTAAGATTAACCAGTGCTTGGCCAGACACTGATAGAAGTCACATGACTGCTATATACTGCTGATTAGAAAAAGTATTAAGCTTTTTATATTTACTAAAATAATTGCATTTTCATGTTCTGTGTACTGTGGAAGACTGGATATAGTGACTGCAGGGTCATAGGTTTTAGTCAGTGATGACTGACCTAAAATATTGTATATTGCATTCTCCAAGACACTTGCTTATCTCAGGCAAGTGAAATTGATGTCATATTTTAGTTACAATGGATGAGAGTCATATTAAATTTTGTTTTCTTTTTGAAAGTATATAAATATATACAGTAAACTTATACTTTCAATACGTATTTGTATTATTTTAAAATACTATACAAATAGTAATAGTAACAATAGTATTCAGGGTGTGTCCATGCTTCATTGTGTGCACAGCATAAAAGAAAGCCCAGCACCAGCTTTGCTGTTGTTGACTGCTAATGGAAGCTAAAGATCTTGATAATATTGTCCCTATGCCAAAGGAGGAGTGGGTGTGTATCTTTTAGTCGCATGCTTGTGGATATAACTTGGATTCCTGCTATTTGGGGATTTTCACAGCACAGCTATACATTAACATTCATAGCAAAATACCATTTTGTAGTCAGGTTCTGTTCAACTTATAAAAAAACCCCCCAAAAAACGAAAAAAAAAAAAATAAACAATGCTTGCACCATATATAAATAAATGGAAAAATGCAGCGCCACAATATATATACAAAATATAGTGCTAAACAATAAATCCATGCAAAAACAAAAGACTGCTTGTGAAAATCAATGTGTGCTATACCAGACGTCTAATCAATACATACATATAGGACTCCATAAACTGCACATAACCAGTGCTCTAAATGATTTGTGTACACAAATATCAAATAAATGTCCTTAATAGTGAACTGTTCCTTTAAATCTTGAAAACAGCACGTGGACTTGCGTGGTATATATCCCATAAATCATGATCCAAATACACCAACTATGAATGTCATCGGAATATGGTCTCCAAAATCGGTGAACCTTCCCTTTAAATCTGCTGTACTTCAAATAGACTAGTGTAACACACTACTGTATACACGTGTATGATGCTCCTGTGTCACCCCTTTGTGCTCATCCACTTCCAACACTCTATTGTGCTCACTTCTAGGTTTGACCCGTAATGACAGGTCAAACTGCGCTTTCCCCTTTAACCTGGGAGGGTATACTGGTACATAGATCTTCACCACCATTAGCCAGCACTTGTAAACCTCTCCAGATCACTTCACATCCATGTGAAAAAAATGCTCAATATAGTGTAATATCTCTGGTCATCTCCTGTACTGTGTCAGCAGTCTCTGGTCATCTCCTGTATTGTGTCCGCAGTCTCTGGTCATCTCCTGTACTGTGTCCGCAGTCTCTGGTCATCTCCTGTACTGTGTCCGCAGTCACAGGTCATCTCCTGTACTGTGTCCGCAGTCTCTGGTCATCTCCTGTACTGTGTCCGCAGTCTCTGGTCATCTCCTGTACTGTGTCCGCAGTCTCTGGTCATCTCCTGTACTGTGTCCGCAGTCTCTGGTAATCTCCTGTACTGTGTCCGCAGTCTCTGGTCATCTCCTGTACTGTGTCCGCAGTCTCTGGTCATCTCTTTTACTGTGTCCGCAGTCTCTGGTCATCTCCTGTACTGTGTCCGCAGTCTCTGGTCATCTCCTGTACTGTGTCCGCAGTCTCTGGTCATCTCCTGTACTGTGTCCGCAGTCTCTGGTCATCTCCTGTACTGTGTCCGCAGTCTCTGGTCATCTCCTGTACTGTGTCCGCAGTCTCTGGTCATCTCCTGTACTATGTCCGCAATCGCTGGTCATCTCCTGTACTATGTCCGCAATCTCTGGTCATTTCCTGTACTATGTCCGCAATCTCTGGTCATTTCCTGTACTATGTCCGCAGTCCATTGGTTCAGAATGTTTTTTTTCTTGTTTTCCTCCTCTAAACCCTTGGTGCGTCTTAAGGTCAGGTGAGTCTTATGAAGAGAAAAATACGGTAAATCAATCTAGTAAAACTCACATTAAAATGTGTCCTCCTGGGACACTACAGGGTTAAAATTCATTATACAGTGTTTGCTGTAAGAAGTGTTCAGAGATCCCTTATCCAAAATGGCGGCACATGTACTTCCGGTTTACGGCCTGACGTCTTCGAAGCCGAGTGTTTTAGGAGGTCTATAGCGCTGAGGGTTTAATATACATGTTTACACCATACAGGTGACTAAATACCTGGAAGTGCCAGAGCAGTGCCCATCGAAACTTGCCATTGTTTGCACATTACAGCACCCCTCTATTTAGGGATCCTGGTGCACCTTAGAAGAGAAGGGACCTGCTGTCCTGGCATCTGGAGGTTTCAGCAATACAAGCGTTTTTTAGGAGGTTTTTTTGCCATATGTTTACTTTGAGAGAAGAGAAGGCTTGTCATGAACAATCATCAGCCCGTGCAAAAATGCTGAATACTGCAAGAGGTAACTTTTGTTACTTTATTTGTAGCTTTAGCAGGAAAGATCATTATTTTAAAAACAAAATGCAGCAGCATACAGAACATAAAATGTCAAAAATAAGGATGATTCTTTACATCAAGTCACTGAAGATGGACAGCTCTAAGGCATCAAGGAGAAGAAACAGTAAATACATCAAATTAGCTATAATGCCAGTCCCAGTTACGTATCTACAAGTTACAGGTTTCTCATTTAGAAGTCTGCTGTAGTTGGAGGAAGTAGACACATTTTCAAATCCACCAGACAAAAGGGATGCAGAGAATATAACGGAAGAGCTACAAAAATAGAAGAAAAAATGATTGAAAATGTAGTTGCAGCTAGGAAGATATCTCGAAGCATATACAAGGAAACAAAGCTCATAAATAAGAAAAACCCACTACTCATAAGCAAAAATATTCCAGATCCCATTTACTCCCTCTGACACCACTGAAGGGGCTTACCTACTCCAACTGACACCAAGACTTGAGTATCCTTAAAGTGTTACTAAACCCACAACAGTAAAATCAGTCTGTATATGTAGTAAAGCATGCTTGTTATACTCACTGTGGAACCTAAGAACATAATCCTCTGCATTGTGTAAAAAGGCCGTTTGATCCTGATTGTTCTGTTCCTCCCCTTGTTCAAGTGACCACCTCTTATCTCCTGATAAGACAAACTGAACCATAGGCATTTTGCACGTTCAGTTTGGTGTGTATCGCTACATAGGTTTTTTTTTTTTTTTGGGAGAGCGCATGTGATCAGCACAGGGCCAATCAGCACTGTCCAGACTTAGGTCAGGGTTTTGCATCCTTCTAGAGCAGAAAGAAAACTCCTCCTACAAGCTTTAGCTAGTGCTTAACTGAACACTGATAGAAGCCACAAGACTGCTCTAACTGCTGATGAGAAAAGTTATTTAGCAGTTTATATTTACTAAAATAATTGCATTTCCATGTTGTGTGTACTGTGGAGACCGGATATAGTGAATGCAGGGTCCTGGGTTTAGTAACACTGTAATCTCATCTACCACCAATGCTGGGCCATTCTTCCTCTCACTGACCAGCAATGTAATAGTTACATCTGTCACTTACCACCAATGTAAAAGTCACATTACAGCACCCCTCTATTTAGGGATCCTGGTGCACCTTAGAAGAAAATAATTGCATTTCCATGTTGTGTGTACTGTGGGAGACCAGATATAGTGAATGCAGGGTCCTGGGTTTAGTAACACTGTAATCTCATCTACCACCAATGCTGGGCCATTCTTCCCTCACTGACCAGCAATGTAATAGTTACATCTGTCACTTACCACCAATGTAAAAGTCACAAAGAGGGAATTTTTTCTCCTACTGACCATCAATGTAAGAGAAAGTACATTATTTACTCCTCACCTGTTCCCTTTGTAACTTGTGATGTATGTTACATACTTCAACTGCTGCACCTGCTTCAAACTGCTGTACCTTGTATACTCCTGTTCACTGTACTCTATATGCAATGTTGTACACTATATATTCCTGACAGTTCCACTATACCTGCGATATAAGTTACAGACTTGTCACATAATAGTGTCATGCATATAGCTCTATATATAACTCCTGAGGAAGTCACGTGATGTGACGTAACGCGTAGGGTGGGCCGATGACGTCAAGCTGCTAAACCGGAAGTTTACGAGCCACCATCTTGGAAATTCCTGAACACATTGAACATACATTACAACAAGGTTTTTTTTACTGTGGTGTCTCAGCAGGACACTTTTAAATGTGAGTGCACTTTGTTTTTTTAATAAATCACGCTATCTTTATGTACTACACTATGGCAAGCGTTTCTGTTTACATATGCAGAGGATTTGTGGGATAAAGAGGTGTGTTTCTAGAAACTGCAGATGGTACATGAAATGCAGCAGGGTAATGTTTGGTAGTGGGGGGGGTATATGTGGAATAGGGCAGCCTATGGAATATGCAGTACAGTTTTGGGCACCTATTCACAAAAAGGATATCAGGAACTGGAGAAAGTACAGAGAAGGGCAACCAAACTGATAAGAGGCATGGAGGAGCTCAGCTATGAGGAAAGATTAGAGGAACTGAATTTATTCTCTCTTGAGAAGATGAGATGAATGGGGGATATGATCAACACGTATAAATACATCAGTGGGTTCATATAGTGAACTCGGTGTAGAGTTATTCACCCTGAGGTCATCACAGAGGACGAGGGGGCTCTCTTTATTTCAGGAGGAAAAGAGATTTAATCATCAAATCTGGAAAGGATTCTTCACAGTAAGAGCTGTGGAAATGTGGAAAAGACTCCCTCAAGAGTTGGTTCTGGCCAGCTCAGTGGATTGCTTTAAAAAAGTCCTGGATTTTTTCCTAGGAACACAGAATATAACTGGACACTAACATTTATAGGTAAAATTGATCCAGGGAATATCTGATTTCCTCTCGGGGGATCAGGAAGGGATTTTTTCCCCTGCAGGAGCAAATTGGATCATGCTTTGCTGAGATTTTTGCTTTCCTCTGGATCAATTGGGGGTATAGGATATATAATTTTTTTTTGTTGAACTGCATGGATTTTTGCCTTTTTTCAGCTACACTAACTGTAACTATGTAACTATGGGTTTAACTTATTACCATAAATGTCTATTGCTGTCTAAAAATTTCAAAAATAAAGCTAAAAAAAATTTGGGAAATTTTCATGGGGATGCTTTTCAAACTATGCAATGAATGTAATTGAAAACAATTTTTATGTAAAGGCCACTGTGGAATGGGAACAAAAAAGGGTTAAATTTTAAAAAAAAATTAAGGCCCTAATTTTAAAGGGGCCCTTTTTTTCTTACTAAAAACAAAAACAAAATTCAGGGGGTTGGAAATATTTATCATCATTTTTTTTTCCCCTTTTAAAATGCAACTTTTCCCACCAAAACCCTTTTTTTTTTCAGTGTTGGGTTCGTGGGGGAAGGGTTAGAACCTTCATAAAATTTTTATTGCTGCCTATGTAACCCCCCTTGGGGTTTCACCTGAGTCTTGTTCCCATTTTTTGTGTCAGGGAAATGAAGGGACGAAAAAAGCAATGACACAATTTAAAAAAGATAAGAAATTTTAAAAGTCAAATTTTTTTATTGCTGGGAAACCCCACTTTTTCCCCTTCAAATTTTTTATTCAAAAAATAGAAAAAAACCCGAGGGAAAAATTTTTTTAACGGAAACCCCCTACAGCAAAAAAAACCTGTTCCCAATTATATCCAAAAAATAAAAAAAAAAATGTTAAAAAAGGTTTTTCCAAGCGTTCAGATATAAAATCACTGAAAAATAAAGGACAAATCTCTGGGATCCCCCAATCAGGGGGTTGTGAATTTATTTTTGAATTTACAAAGGGAAAAATAAATTTCTTCTCCCCCCCCCCCTAAACCCGGACCTTTTCCCCTCACCCCCCCGCCCCAACAACCCCCCCCAAACCCCCACGTCCCAAATTTCAACCCCCCCCCAAAACTTATATCTGTCCCCCTTTCCCCAAAAACTCCCCCCCATTTTTTATGGGGCACTCCCGGGAAAGGGCCCCCCTTTTGGGGGGTGCAAGAAGCTTTACCGCCCCTCCAAAAAACCCTTTTGTTTCCCGTTCCCCCAACCCCCCTACGTTTACAGAAACCTGGGGTCCCAGCCCAAATGGGTTTTTAAACCCCCCCGCTGCACTCTCCTATGGGGGGTTTCCCCCTGGACCCCCATTCCCCCAGGCCCAAAAAGTCCGGGGAAAAGGGGGTGGGGTTTTGGGGCTCCTTTTTCACCGCAAGGGAAAATTCCGAGTCCCTGCCCAAAATCCCAAAAAAAACCCCCCCTTATCCTTCTCCTCCTTCAGGGCCCTCCCCCGCCCCCGGGAACTACCAAACCCCAACCCCCCCAACCCCCCCAGAAAATTGGCTGGATATACCTGGCCTCCCTGGATTTCCCTACCCCCCCCTTCCTGGAAAGAAATTCTTTCCCCTG